CCAACCCCCTCCCAGCTATTCACTCACTCCCCCCTCAGTGGGATGGGGGAGAGAATCAGAAGTGTAAAAGTGAGAAAACTCGTGGGTTGAGATAAAGACAGTTTAATAGTTAAAGCAAAAGCCACACATTCAAGCAAAGCAAACCAAGGAATTAATTTACCACTTCCCAGGGGCAGGCAGGGGCTCAGGCATCTCCAGGACAGCCGGGCTCCAGCAGCCATAACGGCAGCTTGGGAAGACAAACACCATCAATCTGAATATCCCCCCATTCCTCCTTCTTCCCCCAGATTTACATGCTGAGCATGATATCACAGGGTCTGGGACGTCCCTTGGGTCAGTTGGGGTCAGCTGTCCCAGCTGTGTCCCCTCCCATCCTCTTGGGCACCCCCAGTCCACTCACTGGTAGGGGTGTGTGAGGAGCAGAAAAGGCTTCGACTCTGTGTAAGCCCTGCTCAGCAACAACTAAAACATTCCTTTGTTATCAGCACTGTTTTCTGTGCAAATCTAAAACATGGCCCCATGCTAGCTACTATGAAGAAAATTAACTCTACCCCAGTCAAAACCAGCACACCCAGTATGACATGTCTTATGCTGTGCTCCTAAGGCATAGTGCCTGGAAGAGGTGTGATTCCCCTAGGTGGCCCAAGTCTGTCTTTGCACTGCTTCTGCTTAGTTTAACTACACTAAATCAGGCGGAGAATACCAAACATAACAACAAGACAAGGTAAAAGAAATTCATGGGGTCTTTACGCTGCTAATACACATCTTGTGTTGAGTCCTGATAGTAGATTATCCCTCATGTACAAGTTTTTGTGCATCTTCCCTCTGTTTTGAGAGAGGTTTTTCACGTTCTGCATATGCTTCATGTTCCTTTAAATATTACCTTGCACTTGTCTCACCTCTACTGCAAAAAGATACCACAGCAACACAACAGGAATTTTCAGATACTTGAAAAATAAATTTCAATACTGGTGTAAGCACATTCACTTAAATCAAAGATGTCTTAGAGATGAACAAACAGAACCAGTAAATGTTAGACAAGCTGATACAATGAGGATTTTGATATTAAATACACCAGAAGATGGCATTTTTCAACAGTTACATAGCAGTTTACAAAGCCTGAGAGATTAGCATTATACTGAGAAGGCAAAATTGGACCAAAAGAATGAAGCTTTCTGCTGCGAGATACACATGCAGGTGTGAAGCAGGTTCCAAGGAAGAAAAAGAATGTGGATTTTTCAGGTCAAATTGTTCAACTTTATCTTCCATTTTGTTCCCTAACCCAGGCTATGCATATAATTTCCTACCTGTTTGCTCCCTCCCAATAACTTTATATGTGAGCTGATTTCAATGAACTTGAAGCAACAATAAATCTCAAAGATATTCAGCTTCCCTTTCTCTCAGATATTTCACAAATTAGCCATTTTATAACTCCTTCACTAGTGAAAAATACACTGAAAAATCATTGAAGGACACAGAGGCCTCATTGTATAGCCAATGGTCATCATCTTCCTAAGGATGTTTTTAAAATGAGCCCAATCTCTTTTCTTCCTTTTCTTGCTAAAACTGTTTCAGCTATAATTGGCTACGGTTTTGTGGTTTTACTCTTTTTCCTGAAAGAAAAAAATAATTGATACTAGTAGGGGAAGAACATAGTTCTTTCCCCTGAAATGGTGATTTACTGTCTAAGATTATGAAATGTAAAGGGAAGAATGTTCTGATCTTTCCCTAACTTAGAGTTCTGATATTTGAAGCCTACTTTAAACTTATTGATAAGGCTGGTACCGTTGAAGATTGCCTGAAATGTCCCTTTGTATAATCCTACTTTCTGTTGCCTGTAACTCAGTTAAACTTTATCCTTTGGTCTTTTTTTTTTTTTTTTTTTTTTTTTTTTTTTGTAATATGTCAGGTGTCTGCCTCAGGGTGAAATTTTTTGGGAGCATTTCAGCCAATATCTCAGCTATTTCTGCAAATAAGACAAGGATGTGCGGGGGGAAGCTTAACTTGTACTGAGTATTCTGATGACAACTCCTTTAAATAAGCTTTCTGTGTCTTAAAGTAGGGAACAGAAATTTGACAAGAGAGGGAGGGCATCATATGAAAATGATATGATGATTCATTCCTCCATATGAAAATTTGAGCCATTGGGCCAAGTTATAAATCTCAAAAATTGCAGCCTGCATATCTGGTAGTGATTAACAGCTAAAATTCTACATTCAATGAAGACATTCATGCTTTCCATGGGTTTTTAGTGACATCCAGATTGCCTATATAATGTCCTCAAAGAACAGCTAAGAACACATCTGTGTCCTAAAAGTTTTTGTATGTGAGCCAGCTGGTCATATGCAACCCCCAGACTAAATATACATTACAGGGCTTCAGGAAGAACACTGGCTATTCTGAGCAGAGGTGAGTCTGGGCAATAGCAGGACTAGGGTAGGAGGCAGAGAGGGGGTGAACCTGACAGCGGCACACCCGTGTAGATATGGGAAGCAGGACACATATGAGAGGAGGAAAAGGAAATCGCACTGGGAAGCCACTCTCATAAGAGACTTATAAATTCTTCAATCTAAAGAAGTTGGGTTTTATGGGCATAGCAACATTTTATGTGAAATTGCAGAGCATGCAAAAAGAGGGAAGACAAATCTTGGGGAAAAAAGGCAGAGTTTAGCAGCCTGGATGAGAAAGAACAATGGCCAGGAGCAAGACCAAAATCAAACAAGGAAGCGAGGGTGGCAGGATAGAGGATGAAACAAAGGAAAGCTGGATGAGTGTTTGGGTGTCATGGATCTATATGTCCAAGGGGACATGCTATCTGCAGTTTAGCTGCTTCCCAGGTCTTGTATCATCACCTAAGCTGGCTGACCACTACCCCTCTCCTCAACAGAGTAAGCCTTGCGTTCTTCTGAACTCAGAACTTAGTTCTGGGCATTGTAACATCTCCACCGTGTTTCATGACCCCACCAGAAGGCTTTCTGTGCACCTCAGTGAGGGCTTTCCCTATAACAGAGTCAAGGCTTCATCAGTAAAATATATAGACAAGTTGTACTCTCCATCATGCGACAGGTTTTACTTGAAAATTGCAAGAGCAAGGATGAGTTTTTAGGTTCTGGGAGGCTGGACTTAAGACAGTCAGGGTCAGTGGGGATCTGTGGCCTCTGTCTAACTGTTTTATAATTTTTTCTACTCCTGTTTCTCAGAAAAACTTTCTCATCTCATTCTCTTGTTTCCTAAAATGAGATTGGAGGAATAGGTGTCTTAGGTCTGTGTTGCCACTCCAGCACAACTCCCTGTGATCTGTTCCCAGGCAGCAGTGAAATCTTACGGGATGCTATTGTCTCTTCTGGCCTAGGCCATATTGCTAGCACTCTTCTCTATGAGCAGACTGCACATTAAAGAAGAGACGGCTGCAATAAATATAAAATGACATGTCAGCATGTTCTTCCATACATTATACTAAGAACTGGGAGGAAAAACCCATAGGACAGAAACTGCAATAGCAAGGCGGGTCCATATAAGAGAGGAGTGTAGAAGAAGCTGGAAAAGATGGCCCAGAAAAGTTTGTGAAATAAAAGGATAACTTATCCAATGCTTTCCTGGAATTTATTTCTGGGGTATCTACAGTTCTTGAGAGTATGTCTTTCGCAGCCATCTGTGTCACCCATTGGCAAATGTCCCAGTCCTTACACCTTTTATGCTAGTGCAAAATATGCTGACATATAAAATTTAATTTAGTAGCTCAGAGATGGGGATTGTAAGTTTGGATAATTAATATTTGTTTTTAACATGGCAGCAGAGTGCAGAACACTTGCCTCCATGCATAATTTGCTAGGTTAGAGTTGATTTTTTTTTTTTTTTAGAACAATGCTAAAATGCTGCTAAAGTTGTGAAGCAACCTACTGCAAAGTTAAGGATTCCACTCTTAGACCTGCTGTTCAATATTCCCCCCTCCTGCCCACCAATGTGTAATGACAAAAACTGTAGGGTTCTATAATTACATAACTAAGTGCTCTTTTACTTCCCAACAAACCTTTGCTTTATCTAATGTCTAAACTGGATGGTTCTCACTGTGCATATGAGAATGAAGTACTACTGTGCATCAGCACGGACTCTGGTCCCTGACCTGTATCATCAGCAAGGTCTAATTCCCTAACATAAAGACCTTTGAGTGCACACACACCTGTCCTGGTGAAGTGCACATCAACTCACCTCAACATGTGATAAAGATTAGCTTTTCTGTGGTCCATTCTCATCAGTGTAGGTGAGCTTATGAAGATAAAGCTGGTCTGCAGTGAGACAACTATTACTGACATCAAGTTGTATATAAAAAGGCAACATCTAACTGGAGAGCTGGGAAAAGTAAGACAGCATGAACTTGTAGTGTCCCACACTATGGAGTCCCAACACTAGCAGAAGGCAATGAGAGACACTGTGACCTGTGCCTGGTTCAGGGAAAGAACCCAACTCCCTCTCTCCTTTTGTGCCCTAGTGCTTTCTCAGTCAGTTTTATCATAGGCTTATTTTCCTCAACCCAAGCATTATACAGCTAAAATACACTGTATACTTAGGCACTGCTCTCAGAACAGGTGGATTCAAACACCATTTCCCACCATTAATATTCACATCAGACTATAAACTGCTCATGCCCGTTACCATGACGAGGGGAGGACCATCATACAGAAGACTGACTTGCAGATGCTTGCCTGCTCTGTGCCACAGAACAAGCCCAGTGTGCAATTTTGCATTATAAAGCTTATGGAGAAGTTAATGCAGCCACAAAATAATGAGCCATTATGGCTCATGAGAGGCTCAGCTTGCAGAGTCCAAAGTGTACAAACAGAGGCATATAAGACAAATCTGAACTAAGCACTGTACCCTGCCCTCTGCCTGCACCAACGATTTACAGGTATCTGGTAAATGATTTATAAACCTAAAGATAACAAAGTATAAAACTGTATGAATGCCTCTACTTCACAAAAGAAACACTTTCTGGATAATTTACCGTGTCTCTGAAAATGTTTCAAATTTTGGTGTCTGCTCTGCTGTTTACAGGTAAGTGCCTGGCACTCTGTCTCATGTCATTTCCTTCTGGCTTGTTAAATAGCTGGCAAAAAAACCTGTGTTACCACCAAAACAACATTGATAGAAGAGAATTAACTGGAGATCACTGCATCAAGGACATATGGGAGAGTGGGCGAGCACAAGACTGCATAGCAAATTCTGTGAAACAGAGTCTTAATTTTGCTCCACGTGACTACTTTTGAACCTCTTACTGCTCAACCCCTCAGGTATGAGGAGTGAGGATTCATTCCTGACTGAAAGGGATTTTTACAGGAAGATTTCCTGAACTGTTAAAATTGTAGAAAGAGCTTAATGCTGTTTTTCTGGAATCTTCCCTAAACATTATTCTGATCTCAACATTTATTGTTTGTAAGAAACAACTTCACATGCATTTGTAAGGACCTCAAACGATCTATTTCACAAGTGATTTCTGGGATGTCTGATTTGAATTGCTAAAGGAGACTGGGTTTTTTAAAGCTCTTGGGCTGTCTGATCATTGAACCTTCACAGCACCCTGGTAACCAAGGCACCTAAAATAAAGACTCACCCTGTAAAACTTGGACCAGAATGAAAATGGATGGGGCAGGGCCGCAGCATCAGCAAGACTGAAAGTATGCTCTTCCCAGAGCAGCACAGACTGGTACAATCAATGATCAGCGATGCACATGCTGTGAGATTAATTTATTCCTCACTAAATTAAAACAAACTAGCCAGGCAGTAAGCGGCTGTTAACTTCTCAGGTGATAGCCCACATCATGGAAAGATGCTCCATCCACATGAGTGCATTGAAAGTATTTCTTAGATCTGAGTGCTCCAACACACATGCAGTAAATACATGATATGAAGAGCTAAAGCAAAATGAGGTGAACAGAATTATCCAGTGCTTATCATGAATAAAAAAGGTGCTTTATGAATTGGGACCACAGTCAGGTGTGTCTCTTATGGGCCAAATTCTCTTCCTTGTCATATGAACCTAAGTTTTGGTTCCAGTGAGGTTCTGCAGGGAGGGGAAGAGATGGAAAGGGCCTTTCTCTGTTCTGCAAATTCAGACCTCACTTAGAAAGCTTCTTTTCCCCTTATTTGCACTTCCTGATGTACTGTGCACCTGAGATTGGACTATTCCTGGGTCCTAAGCCTCACCTCTCCATTGAAGGCCAACATGACACAAGCAGTGTCACCTGAAGCCAAGCTGGGAGCATAGCAGCCTGCTGCCCCTCCTTCTGGAAAATTTACCTTTGCTTTCATCTCCCTTATGTCTCTTTCTTAACAGCCTTGTTTACCCTCTTTCCCAGGTTCCTTTCTTCAAAAGACAGGAAGAACTATTTATTACTGATTTTTAAGGAACTCTCAAAAATTGAGTTGATCATAAACAGTTCAGTTTTTTGTTAATTGTGAATCCTTTCAGCAATGATCAAGGTGGTGGTGAATTAAAAGAGAGACTGTAAGACTCGCTAATTAGAACCTGACTCTTCATCACATCCTCAACTCAGCTACAGTAAATCACTCCCCATAATAAACTGTCTCCATATATCTGGGAACAGGTTTTGTGGGCTGTTTGCTGGACCTTTTCTTTATCCTCTGCAGAGTGCAGCAGCAAGTGATGGGGTACAAGTGTGGTGTCCCGGCACTGGAATCTTTACTGAATTCTCTCAGATGTCTGACTGGGGTTTCTTGTCCATTCACTCGAGGTTAAACTGTTGGCCATGTATGGATTTAGGATGGAGATTTTGCCAGGACCCACTGAGCAGGACCAATGGATCAATGTTTTTTTTTTAATACTTTGTTGCAGGGGAAGTAGTTCCTTGCCTAGGATTATCTAGGATTTTTGTCAAACTGCCTTGCTATTCACCCATACCTAACAATTTTCCTGACCCCTGACATCACAGCAGAAATATGTTCAATAGCTAATTCTGCATTAACTGACTGTAAACAGTCTGCCTTTGCTGATGAGGGAATGAGGCTGATGCTGTAGCTCTACCAATTGCTAATGACTGAGCTCTCACCTTTTGAAACTGAGAGCTTGTGTCCTGTGCTGTAAAATTAAGAATTGTCAAAGAATAGAGACTACTGTACTTCAGGCTTTAAAAATAAACAGATGAGACCAAAATTTCAAAGACTGGATAATATTAACAGTGTCGAAGTGCTTAACAATCAGTGACTTTAAGTTTTGTTGTTGATGGGTATTAGCAAATCTAACTGATTTTATTTTAAGGCCTGTTACCATCCAAATACTTTGGGATACATAGCCAATGTGCATATGCACATTTCTTTTTCACCATTTGAAAAAGCAATATGCAGGTCTTTGACTTTAATGTAATTGCACTTTTCAACTGAGAAAAGGTGACATGTGACCCAGAGGTGGCCTGCAGAATCCAGAAGTCTATCCTTGCCACAATCCACCACATACTCAAAGTACTGACAGAAACCATGTCTTGATTTCCATGGAGTGCCACGTAACCTAGAGAAATACTTTAGTGAAGAGCAAACCAGTTGCTCCCACACTTTTCTTTCAGTACTTGCACTGTTGTGCTGTGGTATTCTGAATCCTCAGACTGAGTCCTGGGGTCTGGCTTTGTGAATCTTTGCTGGATTCAGAGAGTTAGCTGAAGCATGAGGGGTTGTGAGGGGGTGTCCATTCTGTCTCATTTCTAACATTAAGAAACACACCTGAGCTGCAGCATATGATTTACTTTTTCAAAGTTCCCAACACGTCAGCACCAGCCACCTCAGCAAGGTTAAAGTGTCCAAGGTTGAAGTTTAGCACTGTCCAAGTTTAGCCCCTGTCCAAGCTCTGTCCTAAAGTGATGATAAGACCGATAGCCTTACCCCTGTGAGCTGACATTTTGACCAGAGAATCACCAAGGCCAATAATAAGATGAGTTATTAGACTAAAAGGAAAGGAGCCAGAGGAATTGTCAACTTTTGACATTTAAATTCCATTGATATAAATAATTTCAGCAATAGGTTTTCAAGTTGTCAGAAACTTGCAATAGTCTTCAGAAACTAGAGAGAGAAACAAATAGCTCCAGTTTATATGACAATGTGCACAGAGAGTGACTGAAGTGTTGCTAAGTAATTGTCAAACTTTTTGTAAATATCACAGCAAATCTAACGTAAACCACTTTTCCCTATGGTAGATGCACACCAGGGATAAATTTTGGTCCCAAACCTTGAGATTGCTCCTCATCGCTTATACAGTACTGCTGATCTCTATATAAAGGGCTCCCTGGATGTGGGGGGGAAGCATATCCTTTAAGCAAGCTTAAAGGTTTGTCTGCTTATCATTTAACTCTACCACTAGACATGCAAATGGTGGGCTTGCCTGCTCTCCCCAAAGACTGCTAAGCACACAATGGCTTGTATTGCTTAGTTTTTAAAAAAGAAAAAGCATATCAATTAAATGGGTGCCTTAACAGGCAAAGGTGTCAAAATTTAATCCCATACTCACCTTTTTGAATGAAGTGGATCATTGCACATTCAGCTGATAGAAAAAGATGTCTTCCTGAGAAGATTTTGCAGTTGCATCCAGATAAATATCTTGCTTTCTAGAAATCTATCCTTGTACAATAAAGTTAATCTTCCATTTGAGTCTAGTATGAAGAGTTTTTAAGGCACAATAATTTAAGATCTATGCAGATTGACTTTATATTTTAAGTGCAGTTTTCTTGCTTTACTGTAATACTGTTTTTATTAATACCTTGACATTCCAAACTATTTGATATGCCTTTTTCATAATGAGTTGTTTGGTTTTGTTTTTTTTTTTTTTTTTTTTATAGTCAATGCTGGATTAAGTACACATTTGCCATTTTGACAAAGATGACAATGTTCTACCACTATCTCCCCTCTCTCAAGTTTAGGCTTATACCAGTTCACAGTAATCCAAAATGAGATGCTCAGAAGGCACCATAACAGTAATGATTACTAATACTTTTCCCTCTGGACAATCTGTTTAGGTGTACAGGATAGACAAAACTACCTGAAGGCAATAATTATATGAGCTAAGCATCTGCTTGCTAAAAACAGCCAATTTTTTCTATAATTTGCTTTTCATATGAGAACACCGAGTGAATCTTCGAGACATGATGAAAGGAAACACTCTAACTGGTAACAGCTGATACAGCCCCTGCAATAGTTCACTCCCTGCACACGTTTCTCCTATTTTCCCTTTGGGCCATTAATCCCTAAATGTGCCTTTCAAATAACATATTTATCTAGGAGAAAAGAGGGAAAACAGTATTGAATAAAAAACATTAACATATAATATGTCTGACTGCTCTGTTCTTCACAGTGAGCTAACTTTGTTTCACTACAATTTGAAATTCTTCATCTTTTTTCAGCTCAACTTTATGCACTGTAAGCCATTTCATTAACATTACCCACCTGCTCCTAACTCCCTCTAGTCTCATGCCCAGGTGCTCCAAAACTCCTTTCTCCTGGTTACTGTGCTAGTCTTCTTCAAGATGGAGAGCTGCAGTCCTTCAGGAATAGTCTGTGTTTATAAAGCATCTACCTGAGCAACAAACTCTTCCACAATCTTTTAATAAGCCATTCAAAAGGCAGGAAAAAATTGCACCCAGTCTGAGAAACTTAAATTGAGGCAAGATGCGGGTTATTTGCTAAAGACTATACACTGTATTCAGAGGGGCTACTCAGATGAAGACATCTGGTCTGATGTCCCCAGGTCAACATTAGAGCTTTAAGTCCTTTCTTTCTCTGAGGTCTGCCAGAGCACAAGCAAGTGTGCAACCCCTGGCTTGTCTGTGTAGTCCCAGTGAAAGACCAACAGGACTATTTCTGGTTTCACTAGAAATGGTCTCACTAGAGTTCTTCTGGAGGTAAATGAAGTTTGCCCCATTCAGAGACGCATAACGAACCTTACAGTAAGATGAAGAGAATGAGTTAAGCCTGAAGGATTGGCTTGAATCTAAAAGCACTGACCTGATTTTCTTCTGGTACTTACGCATCTTTGGAGTGCCCCAGCAGCTCAGGACAAGCCCTGCAGAGATGGGTCCCAGGTGCTAAAGGTGAGAGGTGGAAGGATTTGAGACAGCAGCTAGAAAAGAACAAGAACTGGGTGCCAACAGTGACAAAAGAAGCCAAGAGCAGAGTTGACACCCCTGCCTCCCCTCGGAGCAGGCAAGTACACTTTAATCAAAGTGAATATTCAGTATGATTAGGGATGGTATTTCTCATTGGATACAGGTGCAGCCAGAGCAGACTGTATATTAAAAATTGAAAGTTAATACCCTTAAGACTCAGAACTATGTGCCACAGTAGCCAAGACAACACCTCACTGTCCCACCAGCAAAATGACAAGCTCTTTTTTCGAAGATGCTGTCAGCGGGGAAAAGAAACACAAAAAGCAGAGCTGCATAATCATCTTTTTTTCTAGCTTACTTTGAAGTTGGAAGGCCAGAGCACACGTTGGTGATAAAATTTAATGTTTAATGGCCCTTACTAACTATATATACATTTAAACAAAAGTGAAGCCTGCTACTGAGCCAATTTCTGATCCCAGTTCAGTTATCTCAATCCAGAAATATAATCATAAGCTTACAAAATATTCAATATCAACATCCCCCCCCCCCCCCCCCCCAATTCACTAAAGAGAAGTTAACAGCTCATAGATTCTATACTGGATAATTGTAGACTGCCAGATAAATAATGAAATTTGGTACGAGCTTAGTTTTATCTTGTGCAGCTCTGGAACAAAAGTGTAGCAGCTTAACAGACAAATTCAAGAATTATTTTATTATTTTTTTTTCTTCTCCAGGCCAAAATCTTACTTGTTTTCTGAAGTATAGAAATAGCTATTCCTCAGTTCCCTAAGGGAAAGAGCAGTTCACACAAGTCTTCACACCAAATGTCTGAAGTTAGGTTTTTCCATTGAGTTAACATTTTTAAAGATGGTATTCCTTGCAAGCTCCCTCCCCAAAATTTCTGCCTCCAGTTTCTGATTATAGTAACTTGGCATCTGAAGAAACCACTGGGACTGTCATTGCTTGCTAAGTAAATTTTCTAAAATACTGTTTCATGTCTTTGTTAAGAGCAAAGATGAGAACCACCTTCACTTCTTTTTCTTTGTTCATTACTGTATAATCGAGCATTTTCTCACCTTCTTTCAAGCATTTTTTGTCTTTGAAAAGAAACAAAGTGAAAAAGATCAGCAAATACTCTAGCTTACATTTCTACTACCTACATGCATTCAGTGTACATTTTCTATTTAAAAAACTAAAGAGCAATCATATTGTGGATGATCAGCAAATCTAGCAATAACATCAAGTGAACTGGATTTAGCTGAGCATCGTGCATTGAAGCAAGCATTTGACTTTCTCAGATTTTCCCCCTAGAAATTTGGGAATAAGGGCATTGGAGAGCTGTCAGTGAGGTGATATCATGCCCTGCTGAGCTTCCATTGTAAGACACGATAGACAAGGGTTCAAGTTCTTGGCGCATCTGTACCAAATATGTGCCAGTCACCCTCAGGTGTTCATTTAAACCCACTTCACTAAATTGGAGCACGGCTGTTTACAAACACTGGCCTCAGATTGGCTAACATATCTGAGTTTCAACTTAATCAGTGGTTCATTAAAAACTGTACAATTTGGACTGGCATGAAATTTAGCCCCAGCTCAACTCAGTCTCAAAGTCTCAAACACTGGAGACTAAAAAGAAAAGACTTTTCCTGTACCAGGGCCTTTCATAGAAAGTTAATGAGGAATTCAGCCCTTTTTCTTGGGCAGAAGGGTTATTTCAAGAAGATCTGCAAGAAGTACTTTTGCATCTGGGGTCACCTCAAAAGCTGTCTAAAGCAATGTGATAACAAGATTAGAAGTGCAATATCTTTTGCTCATAGAGTAATTTGCATGCATGCAATTTCTATGCTGCTACTAATGAGAATAAATACTATGTCTAAACCAGAAGGTTTAGAAAGTGTAGTTAAATTCATAGGTAGGTTTAGGCATTTTTTTACAAAAACTTTAGGCTTCTCAGCACACCTGAGACTAGTGCAATTCTAGTTTAAGGATTTTTCAGTCACAAAATGTTGTATTAAAAATAAATTAGTGCCTTAATTTGATTGCAACTTTACTTTGGATTCTGCAGAAAATACTGATTTATAGCAGCTGTTTTGTTAACTTCAGGATTAAAAAGAAAAAAAGAAAAATTCTTTCTGAAGATCTAAGGAAGGACCGTCTTTGATTTCTGTTAAATAATCTACAGGTCCAAAGACATGCTCCTTGGGTATAAATATGGTCTTTGAAGTGAACACTCTGTTTTTCTGCTATTACAAATATTTTTCAGCTTCCATTTCAGGTGTCTTTGGAGCACCTTTTCTGACAGAAGAATCAGCAAATCAATTTATACGACTTAAACGACAGATACCATATTCTCAGAATTATTGGGACCCAAGTAGCAGCCAGAACGCGTGGGGATACACTGTGGCTGAACAGGTATTTTCTTCCATCATTTTGCAGCATCTACTGAAAAAAGAAAGTACAGATCTGGGATTAACTAGTAGCAGTAACCCTTTGGGGCAAGGGAGAAAATATGTCTGATTTATCAATGCAGGCAAAGTTTCTCAGTAGTCACACACTGTATTTAGTTAGTATCAAAGCTCAGAATATTCTTTTCTGTTTTGATCTACTTCAGGTTAGTGAATCATGGACAGCTTTGAGAGACACAGCACAATACTATATGGACCTGGGTTCTTTTGCCTTTGATCCTTCGATTGCCAGGTACGATGGGGTTTCTCCGAGCTTTTCACAGACTCAGTACGCATGCGTGTACCTAAGTAAAACTGACCAATGTAAGCGTGCTGGCAATTGGGCCCTAGTGGCATAACTCGACACACTAATAAACCCAATTATAAGAGAAGTCTTGAAAAAATAAAGAAGATTTATTTTTATTGTCCAAGTTTTATAGTTATTTAAATGTGGTCATTTTATTGTAGCAAGTTCTTTTTAAAGTATGCTTTGGAAGAATTCATTATAAGCTTAAAGAATATGTATCTTTATAAAAGTCCACAGAAGCTAAACTACAGTAAGATATCCTATGTAGTTGATTTAAAAAGCAGACAGAAAGCAATTCCTGAGGAGAAAAATAAAAGATAAAAAATCCCATCTATTTCAGTAACAAAACTGTATTCAGTGTAGCATAAAACCTCAGTAGAATAAAACAGAGAATGAGACATAGCAGTTGGTAAAACCAGTATTTATAGATCAGCAGACAAGTACATGAAGTGTCTCAAATTGTCATATATAAATTGTTTAGGACTGTGTTAAAATGTACACATTTTTGGGACATAGTTTCATCAAATTGAGGGAACAATTGCTAAATGATTCAGTTTGAAAAGCACAATGCAGAATATACACGTTATTCCTGCAAAACACTTTTCATATGAAGATACTGCAGTCCTTTGAAATGGACAGGAGTGGGTAGGACTAAACTCATACAATTTCAAGTTTCAGTGCTTAAAATAGTTACTAAGACATAGCAATCTGATCCGTCTGCTGTAACCACCAATAAGAAAATGGGTAGACTTCTCATAACATACTTTGAATTGAATATGCTTTGAATTTTATTGACTTAAAAGGAGCTTTCTTTTTGAAAGTGAGCGCAAAGATTCATTTTGAAATGTAGCTTTTGAAAAGCGCTTTTTTATAAGATAAAAATTTGGAGAGTCTCAGATTGAGATTTCTAGGACTATTCCACCTGAAAGGTGATATCAGTTTCATTCATTCTTAGCAGAAACAAAGTAGAAGAGAATAGCTAAAAGTAATGATTTCCCTGCCCTCCTACTAAGCCATTCAGCTGGTGCCCTTGGGCAACTGGAAGGAAGCACCAAGATATTCTCTCACAATTTCTAATATTGATCTGGGCAGCAGCTTTCTTGGCTAGCAGCCGTCACTTCTGCCTCATGACAAATCTGAAGTTACCTGAAGACTACTCAGTTTTCTGGGAAAAAACCCACTCTGTCTTTTCCATCAGAAAAATTATTCAGATAGAAAATGCCTAACTGCATGTAACTATTAGTTGTCCAATACATGTGTCCGAAGGCTGTGATCCTGAGAGCTGCCAGGCATACTGCAAGATGAGTTATGCCTCCAGAATGATAATCCTTATGATTGTTGTATGACACGATTAAAGCCAGTTTACAGAAACACATTTATAGGCACTCCCACTGAAGCATGTTTATGATTTCAGAATGATGTTGGTTAACTCCCAGACTGGAATAAACTTCCCAATGCTAATGTGACAGAAACTAACATCCAGAGTTTTTATGAAGGCATATATAGAAGTTACAAACTTTTTTTTATGAAGACATCAAGTTAGAAGTTACAAACCCCAATATGTATAAAGTAAAACAATTAATTTCAAGCTTATTGTTCGTGGTTAGTGATATTTCTGAGATGGCCAAGAAAACCAAAGCCTATCAAGAATAGGAAAGAATCTGGTTCAGTGGCTGTATTTCCAGAAGAAAACATTTGCAAAAGCTTGCAAATCTGAAAACTGGAGCTGCTGACAGGATCTTTAAATTAATTTTGCAAAATTTTTCTAAAAACAATTTATTCCATCTTTTCTAGTGACAACATCAGATCTTACATGGACATGCTACAGCAGTCTGGGAGTCACCTCCAGCAACAGACAAGGATGAACTATTAAATCCTACATGTCTTGTGTTTGGCCATGTTAGGATATGGCATGTTATGTATTTGCCTCTATGTATTTGATAAAATGACTTTATCTCATCCCACTGTCTAAAACCAAAATTAACACATTAATTCTCTCAATATCACATATTTTATATTCATAAGTAGGAGTGAGATGTAAGTCATGGTGAATTTAATAAAAAGTTGAAGACAAAGCAACCATTAACTTTTAGCAGATTAGGTTTAAAGAACCTTGTGTTTTCAGGTAAAACATTTTTTTGACTAAAAATGTACTAAAGCTACATTCCCGCTTCTGTGACTGAAAACCACATTTTTATTTCTCAGTATTTTACTTTAGCTACAGTTTTGAGAAGTAATTAAGAAATGGAAATGTATCACTTTGGGTAGGTAAGAGAAGCAGAGCACATTTGCTCCAGGTTTGTCTAGTAAGAAAAGTATAGTTCTGTACTTCAAGTGCCTTTCTATTTTTTCGAGTACTGGCGTCAAATTAGTAGGTATTGTAGTATACATCCATATCATGTGTATGCTTTGCTTTCCACATTTAAACTTCTGTATTTGGTCTTGAATGCCAGAACAAACTGAAGCCATGGATACCACTGTGGGTTGCTTTTTTTTTTTTTTTACTCTGTGGAAGTAGGAGCTGGTGGAAGCACTTTTTCATGGCTCTCTTTCTAATAAAAGTGGTGATGACAAAATGTTCTTTATGCCAAGTTCTTGAGTCTGGAAGTTTTCCTATTCCTATCCATTAATCTACCTTATTTCAGGACATCTTTGAAGAAAGGATTGGGCTCCTGCATTTCTTTTATGTGACATTAATGTACTGCTAGCAACAAAAAGCTTTCAACCCTGGTTAAAATTTCTGCTTGGGGAAACCAAAATATATGGTAAATTCAAGGGCAGGGTAGGTGAAAGCAGGAAATTTTTGCTCACTTAAGAGCAGGTTCTGTGTGTTGTGCATTTGGGGTTCTTTGTGAATATGGACTGTATACTGACCGGAATGAATTGAGAGATAATATTGGATCTTCTAAAAAGAAATGCATATTCTGGCATTCTGGCAATCTCTACCATTCTCTTAGGTATGAAACTATCCTTAGGCCATTATTAATTTCCCTGCATAGAACAATGGGCCTGAAATTGCCATTATTCATTAGCTGAAGCTGAAATTTCATTAAGCACTTGAAAGAGATAAATGTGGTGCAAGTTCGGTATTTGCCATGTAGAATTTCACTTCTTCAGTCATACTACTTAATTATGAACAGTTCATTCAAAGACAGGGTGCGACACGTGATGTACAGACTAAAAGACCTCACTAGTTAAACGCAGTCCTGGCCGGTCCCTTCTGTCTCTCTTCCTTGTGCTGCTTAACCTTGGAAAAACAAGTGCTCCAAATCCTAAACCTTCCACTATTTTCCTCCGTAACAGTACAGGCATAACAGAATTGTTACTGAAACTCTTCAATTTGCAGCAAAAAGCAGGACTGTAAGGATAAGCATTGCCTATTATTTTTAATGGATATAAAGTAAAAATCAAAGGATCTGACTCCTTCAGCTGTGCACCTTGCTGGTCTCAGAGATGTTTGTGCTCTGCAGGCAGCAATGCCCAAGCCACTTGTGCATCAGTTCCTGAAGTGCTGCTGTTTTCAGCCCTGCCTCTCTAATTGATGTTGTTGCTGCCAAGGCAGGGGTTTGGGATCTGCTTGAGAATTAACTGCAGTTTTCATGCCTGCATGGTAAGTTAAACCAAAATGGGAGTTAGTTCAGGAGTTGATTTGCAAATGGACAACAGGCATCCCTGGAGTGTGGACGACAAAGTCCATCAATGAGGTGGAAGGTAAAACGAAGTGCGTCTTACCTCATCTGCTATCAGCTGGTGAGGTAACTGCCCCACATTTATGAGCTATTTTATGGTTGTCAGAGCCATAAAATTAGAATAACCACTGCCTTAAGTCTATTGCCACGAGGACAGTCTTGTGTAAGACTGGCTTTGTGACCAAAATGTCAGACAAAGCCAGGGGATGCAATTTGACAGTTCTGTTGTACTTAGACAAGACTAATTCCTTTAAAGAAGTTGTTCTGAAAGCCAGAGCCTCAATCTGCAAAGCCGTAGCTTCAAGCTAATGTCACTAATTCAGATAATTAGTCTTGCTGAATTAAATGGGATGCATGAGTAGCAGTGGAGGATGAGGTGCTTATTTCCTGTTATCAAAATACATGCCACTCATGACAATGTGCAAATGGCTTTCACAGGCATTTGAATGTTAAACTCCTTCCTCTGAATTTATTAATAACCAGGAAAAATATTTACCCTGTGAATTTGCTCCCCTTATTTAGCTTGACATACTGTTTCAGTACTTTAACACAAGTAAATTTGGACTCTTTACTGTCTTTTCCCACACATCTTCTTGTTGCCACCTATAGGTTTTACCTCCTTGCTTTTTCTATACAGCACAGATAAGCATGCAGTACCTAACTGATGGCAAATCTAAAGAACAGGGTTAAACTAAAGAGAATTTCAGGTACAGCGCTGCTTGTCATAAGGGTGGAAATGCAGGCCTCAGGACACAGAAATGTTGCCTCTAGCACAATAGAGATCAGTTCCTCTAAGTAGTTACTGAATACTGCAACTTTTTGTAGGACATCCACCCTCCCAACCACACAAACACCAAAACTCCCTAAGACCAGAGACAGCAATGGTCCTGGAGGAGAGGGGGAATTGGCAGAGAGGAAGAGCAGTCACAGAAAGCTAAAGTCAAGTTTGTCTCTGTGTAGACATTAACTGGACGGATGCAGGAGAATATCTGACAGAAAGTCCTGAGTTTCCAGATCTTTTCTGTGTGATATGAGGAGGACGACTGTCTAAAATCAGTAGAATGACAGAAATCAGGACACCCAAGTATCCCGTGGTTGATTAGTAGCTCTACCAGAAGCTCTTCCCCAGGCAAGGCACTTGCAGGGTCTCCCTCCCATGGGGGTTCTCCAGCACTGAGTCAGGTCTGAATCATGCTGCAGCCCCTTCCTCAGTCAGAGCATTTGCCTATTCCCTCAGCTTCTTGGATCTCTAATTTTGCAAAGCTTTGAAGAACCAAATTACCTTTGAGATCTCTGCTACTCTGTCAAGTTGGATTGAAAACAGCCCACAGGTTAAAAAATTACTGTGGCTAGACATAGGAGATAAACACGTGACTACCCAGACAACACGATTGTAGGAGCCTTGCTCTGTTAGAGAATCAGATGAAAGATTTGAGTGTACTCTGACATGACAGGAGAAGTAAGAAAACCCATCTCTCCAATAATAATTAAAGAAAAAGATTATTACTCCATGGGCTTTCTTTTAATGAGAAAAACAAGTCATTCTGAACAGAGAAAATAGGGGAAGCTGTAGAACCCAAGTAACCTATATATAACTCACGTTAAAATTGCTGAATGTGGGGTAAATTCTAAGATACACTGTTTTCTATAAGTTCAGCAAAACAGGTGAATATATAGATGTAATGGGAAAGAACCATATATTTCATGAGCTGAAATGTTTTCTACAAACAGAACAGTGGCACCCGGTTTTCAATGAAAGATCTACACACTACTTCATTACTATGGTAATTCATATGATTGAACCTGGTCTCATATGATTTTAATGCATAAACCTTTTGAGCTCGCATCCCACTATTGTTATGCACTTGCTTTGCGCTTGATCTTCTGTTGTCTTAATTTAAACCAAAACAGCTGAGACAAAATATTCATCTAATCTATACCTGCTGCTATAATCCTCAATGCCGACAAAAGTGAGCTATGTTCAAAGCAATTTTATGTTGGCTCATTAAATATACAAACCACCTACTGAGGCAGGTGCACTGTTGTAACCACTCCACGTAGAGTGGATAATAAATTATTAGTGTTTTACATCATCCATAGGAAGCAATGAGATCAACAGTTAAAATAAAAAAGATAGAAAATGATCCAAAATTTAGAAGTTCAGTCAGGAAAAGAAATAAGCATTCTTTGTATGTGATTATTATCTTAAGTGAACAAACATCAATAATTACTGTTCTATCCCCAAAACTGTTGAAGAGATATATATTTCAAACAATATGACATCAAACCTGTGGAGTCAACTTTTCACTAGCTGGAAAAAGAGTAACAACTCTCTTTACGAGATGTGTGTGGTATCAAGCTGGATATCTGTAAAGGTAGTTGACATGTGGTGACACAGCAAATGTTTGTTCCCTTTGAGCCCAGATCGAAGTCACGTCCTACCTCAGCACGAGACAGGCTGAGTGCTGCAGCTGGCTGTATTAGAGATGAAATAAATACTCAGCCCTGTAATGAGAATTTAACCATCACCTCCCCAGGGAGCAAGCTTTTACTATGCCAACGTTAGTCCAGGCAGGGGTAGGGGAGGAAGAAGGAATGGACTGGTGCACTTCAGCCTTCTGGGATCAACCCATATAAGTTTCTTTCTCTAGGAGGTGTTACAAGATAGTCAGCTTGGAATGACACTTCTTATTCAGCTACTTACTCCTGGTCACACAACCACTACTAAGGTGATTTCACGCCAGTCACTGCCTCCTTGGCAGGACTCAATAAGCATGTGACATCCTGTCTGAATACTTCAGCTATGTTCTGGTTGTGATTGAAAGCTGCTGTGCAGCAAGGAGCTAGTTCAGGGAAGGCTTAAAAAAAATCCTTACGATTGCTGTCAATATTATTATCATAAATTCAAGGCCTGATTATGCAAGGTGTCATGAGAAAGCCGTTAGTCTGGCATCCTTAAAATGCAGGTAGAACTGTCTAAGGACAAGAAAACAACCACAGGAAGAAAGTGGCTAAAAAGACAACAATGGATCTGCTGCTCAGAACTGCGAAATAATGGATTACGTAGTTTTTTAGAAGAATGAATTAAAAAGAATCTTGCCTGCAATTTCAAACATGCTCTGTATGAACCTTGCACAGAGAACTACAAAGTGCTGCTTCCTCTCAGTGTCTGTCCTCAAGTATTTATGGTGTTACCTCTGCTGCAGAGTTCAGGTAGGAGGCTCAGTGCCGAGAGCTCTACCACAAGCTTTCTGGTGGAGTGGGACCTATACCTCTCCATGTTACATCATGGGCAGGATGCAGTCTGATTTTTGATATAGTACCTCAGAAGGCAGCTACCGTTATATTATACCAAAACTACATGTACTGACTTTTTGTTTTTAATTTAGAAGTGCTTACAGAAATGAGGAAGAGTCTATTTATAAACCTAAGGGAAAAAATAAAAACCCTAAGCTTTTACTCATATGTCATTTGGGACAATTACCTTTTGCTAAGAGTACAAACAATTCTGTCAGAGTCACTATATACTTTGTGGAGTATGGAAATAATTTTCCTACAAATAAGAAAATCATCTCCCTCTTTGTTACTCAGGGTTACACAGTT